CCCACTTGGAAAGCAAATGTTCTTTCATCAGTGTCCCAGGGGATTTTTTTCCCCCTGTGAACTGGTGCTGAGTAACACRCTACTATTCAAAATGAGTTTTGAGTAGGGGTGAAAATTCTGCATTTATCTCCAAATGAGAGGACTGCAAGAGCTGTCTGGTAATAAAAATAGAAAAACCCCTGATATTTTGAAAATATGTCTTTTGGCATGCTGTGTGTGTTACCAGGTGTCAGCAAGACACTGTGGGCAACTTACTTTCATAGACATGAGTGAAATCAGTGCATAATAAACACAAGCAGACATTTATTAGCATTTTTCTTGAGGGTGAGCCTTGAACTAGGTATGGAGAGTAGCATGGTAAGAAAGTAATTTTTAGATTGTGTAGGAACATCCCTGTGTAATCAGTGTTGACTGTCTAATATTACCTAAATTACCTGGGAAAAAGTCTGCAATTTCTTGTTGATCTAATTACATAAATTACGACTTGTAAATGTCTATAGCTTTTGTAACCTACACATAAAATAAATCCTGTGTGAAAAATATATAGTGTAGCCAGAGTGAGATAGAACACTGTCTTTTCTTGTTTAGCCAGAGCAATTTATAATAAAATTTAGAAAATAGTTATAAAAATTAGTATCCCAAAAACTGACGCTTTCATGACATTCCATCTATATTCTGCAAGATAATGATCTAGAATGGATTTATATTTATCAGTCCTACAGTAATACAGAACAAAAATTAAGATTTTGTTTTATATATATATTTTTTAATCCTGGGGAATTTAAACAAGAAAACAACGGGCAAAATGATGCTGAAGCTTTAAATTGGAACCTGAAAAGTTTTGTAGTAGCCTTGAGAAAATGTAATTCTGTATGGTCTGATGTTTCTTGGATTTGTGCAATGCTTTATTACTCTATGTGAGCCCCGACACTCTGGTGATAATTCCACTAAATTCTGGACTCAGTGATCATCCCAAGTCTTCAGCTGGCTTAGAAAGTGCTGTGAGTGAAGGTGACTTGAGGGGCCCTCACACAAGAAGTCCAAGCGGTAGAATGCTGTTCTCTGCCACTGCTGGCTCCACAACTGGGAGGGTTTTGTGTTGCTGATTTAAAACAAGAGTTCAAGAATTTGCCACATGATGGCACCAAAAAAAGAAAATAATTCCTAGGACAGCTGCATAGCAGGCTGCACAACTGCCAGCAGCCCAGATTTAGCTGCACAGTGATGTGCAAATGGCGACAGCTTGTGCAGCTGAGGATGCCATGGGTGGCTCGTACAAAGGACTCCTGTACTGACCTCGTAACAGTATYCATAATGTTTTGTAATCTTCATTTCAAATTTGTCATTCACTGGACCAGACCACAGCCCTCCCTTCTTTTTATTTACTTATTTTAGTGATCTGTATACAGATTTYCCAGGGTTTTAGTTCTCCCTAAGTCTGTAGATGTGAAACTTCCCCTGGCATGGCACATGATCCTTCCTTTTTTGCCTCCCTCTTTCCACAGAGGATAAGTACGGCGAGTGGAGACGGCCGGCATTACTGCTACCCACACTTTACATGTGCAGTGGACACAGAAAATATCCGCAGAGTGTTCAACGACTGTCGAGACATCATTCAGAGGATGCACCTCCGCCAGTACGAACTCTTGTGAGGGGATCACCGTGGAACCTGTGGTTTTCAATTCTTTGCTCCTTACTCTTTCTCTTGATACTACCCCACACAGGGTGGAAGATGCTATAGAAATGTCAGTCTCTTCACTTTGTTTACTTTTAATTGTTTAACCTTAAAGCTGATTTGAAGCAAGTTTGGGTTWTTTTCCCTTCATGCTTTTTGGGACTATTTTTGTGCTTTATTTTGACATGCCACTTCTTCGTCATTCCACTAAGCCCTTTGGCTACCTCTGTTCCCTTAGGTTTTGTTTTTTTTTAAACTGAACGTGACCTGCTAAATTTTTTCCAGTGGGTTAACCTCAGTTCAGACCGGTATGTCAGCTGGATGACACTAAAGTCATACCTATCCCTCTGTGTGGGTTTCCTTTTTAACATGACATTGAAGAGTACTTGATGGGTGAAAAAAAGATTAATGCACTTTGTATCAGGTTATTAAATACTGTTGAGGAAGTAGACACACAATGTAGCAGCACCACAATATTTATTACTCTGTCACAGTTTTTAGCATTTCTGAGTTGCAGGTCAACTGATAAAGTGACCTCCTCTTTTAAGCCGTTACTGGCACAGGAAGTAGAGTAGATAATGAGAGGAACAGTGAAGACAAAGCAATTTTTCTGGGGTTTTGGAGCTAAGTGTCTCTGCACACCTCAGGCATTTGAATTACAGCTACTTTTCAGCCTGTTGCATCTAGGCAGAAAATTTACCACCCTCACTTACGTTATTTGTGCTGTCCACAAATGATCCTTTTAGTTCCGATCATTCTTGGACAACAGTCCTCTCCCTATATATATATTTTTTGTTTTACTGCTGGTTTATTATATTGTACAGACTGTAAAATGTAATATTATTTTGTACAACTTTATTGAAGAAAAATACTTGTAGAAGATCTTTGTGCCTTGATTATGGCTGTACCTGTAAAATGAGCTAAGATGTAAGTATGTTTTTGATTGCGCTGTACAGCTTGATGTCAACCTTACCTGCAGCAGTGACTGGAGGTAAGAACTTTATCTGTAGAGTTTAGGGGTTTTTTTCTGGTTTATATAAAAATGCTCTTTAGTATAAAAATTATAAATTATGCAAATTAACCACTTACCTTTCCAAGTAAGGTATTACAGTCACCGGATGTTGCAGCAAACATGCCTTTCTCTTTTGAAGTCTCAGCTTTAAAACATTGGAATTCATTCAAGTGTCCAAATTGCAACCTGGTGTTGTTTTAATGGGAACCAAGGATTTCTTTCTTTTTTTTTTTTTTTTATTTTGTCCTTTATATTTAGAAAATATGTTTGGTAATTCTTTGGTCATTCATAGAACTTCACAATTGCACAAACCGATTGTGAATGTGTAAAGCACCATTATATAGAGCTCTTCAATCTTTGTACCAACAGCGGCTTTCATTGTGCAAGTAAATAGCGAGAAAGAAGATAAGAAAAAAAAAGGTGTATAAACCCTTGTGTCTGGCCTAAGAGAATTACAAGATGACATTTTTATTTCTCTTTTAATAAAGAGACACATTAGAAAATTGTTTTATTTTAAATATTGTAGAATCAAAATGTGTGAATATTTCTCAAACTTGAATAATTTATGCAAATGACATTCTCAAAACAAGTTGTGGTACAGTACAATATATAAAAAGCAAGAATTGCTGTAGCAATAAGGCATGTCCTTTTTAGTAACTATAACACTGCTTTATATTTTATACATAGGTGTTTTATGTCTGTGACTATATACTTTTCCTGTGTCCAAGATAACCTGTACAAATGTCTAAAATTACAGTTGCAATAACAGAAACCTAGAGAAGTGTTAGACTACATTACTTCATAGAGTGTTTTACCACACTTTGGACCATTCCCCCYACTTCATTTTAAATTTAGGGAGAGATGAAGAGCTAACACAGTCCCCACACTGGCATATATATCAGCAGGTTTTATTAACTTTTTACTGTACTATTATTAGTTAGAAACCCAAATCAGTCATCTTTTTAAATATAGACTTCAGGCTAATTGAGAATTTGTTTCCAGCTGAATATAAAACAATCCCATTTTAAATACTAAAATATGACCATTTTCTCTTCCCAGAAATCTGTATGTTCAATTTAGTCATATTCAAATTGAAAGGCTGGATGGAATAAGCTAATAGTAAACAAAATCCCTAAAATTCTCTTATTTCTCATGCCAAAGAAAGTAATAGAATGAATAACAAAAGATAGTATTTTTTTTTAAACTAGCTCCAGCCCAGGAGTTCAAGTTAGAGCTCCGGCCTCTGCGGGAACATCCGCAGAAAAACTGGTCCTGGTGTGACGTAGTCCCTCTGTTTTTTCTGGGGTGGGTGGAGAGCAGCAGTASGTTTGTCCCACCTTCCCCCACACAGTGAAGATGCTGAGCTCAGATTTTATCTTTGTGGCACAGCTGGTGGCATCTGCCTCCCCACAGAGGAGCAGTCCAAAATGTGACACTACACTAAAGTCGACAGAACTCGTGGAATGTAAAACGTGCATTCCTGTCCCTGTCTGTCCGCAGACTGAGGGCCGAGGCATAGGATAATGTTACTGCAGATCTGTTTGACCTTCCTTCTTGCAGGAGATTGGCAACTGGAGGGCCCCTCACCACAGATCTCTGGGATGCAATAGGGCCCTCTTTTTTTAAGCTCATCATAGCACATCTTTGAAAGYAGCAGCTTGAGGTGTCACCCTAATTTTTTTTCAAGTGTGTATCAGCAAACTGGATCCTCGAGCTTCTTCCCCTTGTTGTCTGGTAGACGGATAACTGCAAATTAGAGTCAGCTAACAATTTGCTGTGTCAGGAATCAGAAAATTTCTCATCCCAAAACACAGTCCTTTACACACAACACCTTAAAAAGGTTACAGAAATCCGCATCTCTCAGTGCTGATGCATCCAGATTCTGCCTGACCCTAACAAACACAAGTGTGACATTCGAAGGGCCATGCAGCAATAAAAGAGAAATGTTCCCAGTTTGCAAGATTCAGCCTCCACCAGGGTAAGACACAAGTGCAGACAAGTGATGAGACTATAGGATTTACATAATGTACAGTTACACTTTTAATATACATATTTGATACAAAAATTATAGCAGGAAAAGGACTCATTTGATTGTCGAATACAGTATTTTTGTACAGCATGAAACGTTCATTTCAGTTAATTATTTATCCTGTAGTAGTCATATCAGCTGTATAGGACTTCTATGGTATGTGTAAATGCAACCTGCCTTCAGACTAGCAATCAAATTAGGTCATTTGCTGGCATGAATATAGTCTGATGTTTGACTGTTCTCAGCTTTGGTATTTCAGTGACTGAATGCAGATGTCTGGCTCTTCATACTGCTTTATGCTTACTGATTAAACGCTGAGCAAAATAAAATGGTGGAGTGAGAAGCTGAACATGAGCTAGTACCAGGATCACAAGCAGAGCACCTGCTGCACAGTAGATAGTGAAGACTCTGCTCTCAAATGGAAGGAAGCATTTTTGGAGGGAGAAATCAGTTGGTGTTATGCTGCCCTGGAAAAGAAATGAAGACTGTCACTTTGCTGTTTTACCGTGGGTTCTGAATCAGGAGTAAACACCACAGCTGTCAGATCTCCAATTTCTAAATCGTGTGTTGGGTGGCAAGGGTTGGGGCCAGTCTCCTAGTACCAGTGCCTTCTCCAGAGGGCTGAAGAGTCCATACCTTGTGGTGCTGGGCAYTAACTGGAATATTCACCAGACCAACATTAGCCCAGAGGCCAATCTTCCCATCTAGCATAAACAGAGCTGGGCTCCTCATCTGATCTGCCTTCAAGAGAAGCCTAACTTTAGCTGCTGTAAATTCACCTGGAAGGAGCCTTTCCAGGCTAAAGTTAGGTTTGTGAATGTGCCCCGTCCTCCCCTGAGCCCTCCTCCTTACCCAGTACATGCTGCAAAAAAACACGTTGGCTAATCCAAATTAGAAATACAAATTTCAATGACAAAGAACTTCGCTGAGTTTTGGCTTGACTTTGCAGTTTAAAGTTTACAATGGATCGAGGCTGAGGAATTAAAACAGTAGTGAAGAGGATGCAACTTTAATTAGCCAACCTCTTGTTTTGCAGTAAAAATGCGCTGTCTGGCGTGTGCAGAGAGTGTGTGTATGAAGGCAGCTACTCAGGAATACGGAATAAACRGAACTACTTTCAACAACAAATACTAACAGTTGCATAAAATGAATTTAAATGTTTGGGGTTATCTGTGTATTAAGCAGCCTAAACTCAACAGCAGTAAAACATACATAAAAGATTTCCCCCTCCAAGTCACAGACCACTCTGTAAATGGATTGTAGGTTTTGCTTCTTACTCCAAGTTTCTAAGAGTTCTGTTTTATTTTTGAACTGGGGAACTAATTGAYTTACCTCTAAGGATATACTGAGCACTGGAACTGCCTGCACAAGCATAACCAACACACTGTATAAAATGTGAATTGGCAATGAGAAGGCAGATTGTGGGCACGTCACAAACACTTTCACTGCATTAATGCACACGTTTGAAAACCATCATCACCGTGCAAAAGGGATTGAGGTGGATACAGTCGTGTTTTTATAGTTGGTAAATCAGCCAAGCCAAACTGGTCTTTCTACTGTTCAGTGCACAATACTGATTATTTTTACAAGTCAATAGTTTACAATGCACCCTCTTTCTAAGAAAATGTACCCAGATACTAATTAGGTCTTTAACAGCATTGCTTTGTACCACACAGAACATGTGGCTCCCACAGATGTACTTTATAAAGTGGATGCAGTGTACTGAGTGGGTTGGGTGGGTAGGCAACTTTTTTTTTTTTTATTTTACGTTTTTACAGGTAGAATCAGTTCTAAAATATAGCTGACTGCCATGTTGATTTATTTATGAAAGTTATCTGACAAAAATAAAAAAAAAATTAAAACTTRCCATGATGAAACTAGGATTGTTTCTATTCCTCCAACTGAATGATGGGACACTGATTTCTGGAATTTTCCCTGCGTGCAGCACTTCACAAGCACTGTGAGTGTGCCCACTGAGAATCAAACGGGGCTGAAACCACCACAGCAGCTAGAACACAAAATGGTTAAGCACAAAAATTAAGTTACAGCTAAAATAGAAATTGAACTTAAAACCCCCCTTTTTCTTCCTTTTAACAGAGTGAAATTGTGGCAATTCTAATTCTTCAAAGTGTTTTCTGTAAACTTCTGTTTTCCAGTAAGAAATGTGTTGGTATCTCAATCACCCCCATTTGGCCCTGATCCCAAACACTGGGCTTTTTTTTTTTTTTTGGCCCCAGAGATCAGAACAATGAAGGCTATGGCATGCTGTGAATATCACAAAGAGAAAAACGTGGGGTTTAGTAAAGCAATGCTAATTTCTTGTCTAAGGAAGACTCTTGTACTGACAATCTTGAGTGAAGGCATTTGTGCAGAAGGAAAGAAATAATGACCATTAAGTTTTTAGGGARTGCTTTACATTTTCTTGTAGTTACTAATTCAGCAAAAGTGATGCTTTCAAAGTGTTGGAAAACTGTGACATTCTACCAGATGTGACAATAATTTGCACAGCACAGAAGGTACAGAATGCTGAAATGGAGATAATGGCACCACAGCAGATTCAAGAGTGCCAGGACTTAGGAGCTGTACCTGGGAATCCCAGCAGGACCAAGGCCAAGATGATGAGGATCCTGAGGGGAGGAGCTCTAAGAAGCAGCTTCTCACAGGCCTCATTAGACAGGAGCAGCTGTGCTCCGTTTGTCTCAGCCAAACAATTTTGGCTTGCCACAATTTTTAAATCTATTTATATCTACACTCRTGTCCCCCTCTCACCCACCCACTGACACTCAAGTTCCAAATAAATCCAACCTTTTGTGATGCCTCTTGAGACAGTACATCATACTTTTCTTTAAAGGGGATCTTCTTCTCTTCCRGAGGAGCAGAATCTTCTCCAGTGCATTCAGCATCACTTTTCCGATAGAGAGGGTAATGCTGRGAGTAATTAAAAGCAGGGATCAGTTGTTAGTGATCCAGCCTGTCTGGAACAGTAATAAATCCACAAAAACAACAGGTCAATATGTTGCCTCACCCCACCTCTAACACACCTGTAAAAGGATGGGTTCTGAAGCTGGAAGCTTTTCCATTTCACTGCATCTGTTGTTGGAACGATTCGGTTTCTGTGAATGAAATCAAGCCATAGAAGGKGTGAAGGTAATTAAGCAATAGCTGGGTTTTAAGGGGTTAGGGAGGGTGGGGTTGTTGTTGGCTTTGTTTTTTTTGTTAAGCAGTTTAGGTGTCAGTAGTGTTTCAATACTACCCACTGTATGAACTTCTGGGAGTTTTTTTACACTGTGAACTGGTGTAACTGCCTGTTCTGTCTATGCTGTAAATACAGCTGTGCTCTGCCTGAGTGCAGAAAGCAGCAGCAGGATCTCTGCTCCAGCAAGGCAAAGGAGTTAAGGGCAGCCCAAGCGAGATAGAGTCTGGCAATTTTTCCACTGGGAGCTGGCTTCCTGATTGACTGCCAGGCCAGCCAGTCATGCTGCCTACTATGCAYCCAGTCAGTCTATGAAAAAAGGGAAGAGTAAAGAAATACAAGAAGCAATGGATTTGATGAAAAAATACAATTAAAACACTACTAGGCTATGAGGAAAGGGCCACAGTAGAATCAGGAAACTAAAAGCATATGCTTGAAGGCTATAAAAAAGAATAATATCCATAAATATAAACGCAGGATTATGTATCTTGAGTCACAGGGAAGGTTACAGAACTTCGGCCATTCCTCAGAACAGAGGAAATGACACCCTTGGCAGCACTGACAAGGAAGTTAACACCATTAGGGCAAATCAACACCGTTAATAATTAAGTAAAAATGGTTARGAGGGAAATGAGGGGGAGAAAGACCTGCTAACAAGTTGCAATGTGAATTGGAAGCAGATTTTTTYAGGAGAGTCTGGTTATATCCTGACTATGCTACAGTATCAGGATTCCCAGTGCAGCAGAGGAGTCACTGGCTGTAATCAGATCTTTAATTAACTCTTACCTGCTGGGAGCAATTCAGTTTGTGAGAAAGTGCCACAAGTTTTGCCTCTGAGGTACGRCAGACAGCACAGCCATCACCCTCCATGGCTACACTGTTCACTAGGACAAAGCTGGAAAATACCAGGGGGTGGGCGAAGATAAGTGGGGAGGACAGGAAGGSATTTGTTGTTCATGCACACGTGTGGTATCGATAAACTTCATTTTATAAAATGCAAGTGTTCCTAAGTTGGACACAGCTCAACAAAAGAACAGAATGTTGTAGCTCCTGAAACCATGTGCTGTAAATCCTCCTCTGGGTACCTGTACCATAGCCATGTCTCTGTCTGGTTGGCTCCTTTAGGCAGTTGTTAATTAGGTTGTACAATGTCCCTTATGCTTCATGTTTACATTTCAAGATTTTTTTATATTTTAATGGATACTTAAGTTGTATTCTAGTGGAATGTTAGAAGTTCATCACTAAACTAAATTCTGCAGGAAAGGAGAACTTACTTTTCTCCCCACAGTTTAGACCTGAGAGACAGAATTTGAGACACTGGATTTCTTCAGAACTGAAAAGCAAAACACTGCATTTGGGTGACTACCCTGAACAAGCTTAGTTTTGTACTTTGCATTCCCTGAACCACAAAATAGAATTTTATTTGTAATAGAAGGTTGCTCCACAGATTTCAAATCAACTTTGAACTTCTGCCACAAGATTCATACCCTTTTAGTCAGTCACACATTCAGCTTGAGATATATCCCCAGTTCAATTCAATGTGTTTAGAAGACACAAATGAGCTGAATGCATTTATTAAAGAAATACTAGTCAATAGTGAAACAAAAATTAACTCTCTTTTAGCAAATAAAGGTCCTTCTGTACCACAGATTTGTTGTAAAATAGTTTATCTAGCAATGTTTCATTGATGGGATAGCTCATTTCAGTTAATGGATTCTAGACACACAATCTGCAACTGCATGCARGAATTCTGCTGTGCTGTTTTATCGAAGGAGACATGGAGATATTTCTTAATAATTATTTTTTAACACCTGTAATACATATCTAGAGAACCTCACAGCTGCATGATAAGCAACAGCTTTATACTGAGCATTCACAAAACTCAAGACATCTTCCTAAAACAGACACATCCATTTCCAGACCCGTTCAGAATTTTTAATTAAACATTTTTYGTTTGCTTATTAAGGGAACCTATAGGTTTTGAATTTCACATTTCCACAGGTGAGTACAAGCTGAGGACACACGTGCCACACACAGAGTGGCAATGGGCCTTCCCTTCCTAAATCTGAGSCTTAAAGACAAACGCCTGTCCACAAACCCACTATTGCATCCCTCACCGGGTTCCTGCATGGTGTCTGGAGGTAACAGAGCACAAAGCAGGCAAGTGCAGCCACGGGGACACAGCTGCGAGGACAAAGTGCACCGGGCTCTGCTCTGAGCCAAAACCAGCTTGTGCATTATTACCCCACCTTGTGGAAAAACCGTGGACACGCAGCTGCTTTGTTCTCTAATTCTTCAAAGGTCTAAGTTCTACAGACTAAAGAAGGTACTAAAATTAATGAAACTCCTAATTTGTAAAYACAGAGGGGGTTGGTTTGTGTTTCTTTATGAATCCTACTGTGTTTACGGCCATGGCTCATTACCAGCTGCAAGGAAGTATAAAGGCAAACCAGAGGAATGGATTCTGACTCCACAGTACTTTTCCATTTAAAAGGAAATTGTTGCAATTTACCTAGTTCTAAGTACAGCTTCCAGTCCATATCAAACTACAGGTTTGTACAGAGTGTTTGGGGTTTAATACATCTGAGGTAGATGATTAAAAATAAAAGGCTCTAACTTAAGCATTCCCATACTATTAGAAAAAAATTTTAGAAAGAAAYCAAATATACTCACTTTATTCCTTTCCGAGTTATCAGATTTCCTGAAGTAAAGTTGAAAACCTTTTCAAATCGATTTACCTTGTAAGTAGTCATTCTGTCACAGAGCAAAAATACAACTGAGGTAAGAAACTGCCATTGSAACTCCTCTGACACAGCTGCTTTAGTTTGTTGACTATTGATGCAGCTTGCTGYTCCATTATCCAGCTCACACAATCATTCAGCAAACTCACAGGGCTGCTCTGACACCCCCTCGTGTCCTCCGGCCYTTCCCATCAGTGCAAGTGTCAGCAGAGTGAGGGCACTTACCCCTTCTGTGCCGAGATAACAGGAAAGGAAATATGYTCAGACACCTTTCTGGGGAGGAGCCCCATTGCAAGGGAAAGCAGCTTCAAGAATTCCACATCAGTGCAGAAGGATCAGCTCTGAACAACCCTCATAAGGTCACAGAAGCATAAACCTGTTTTGTGCACAGGCCTTACTCTAAATTACGACCCGTTCTAATTTGATCATGATCAAAAACTTTCTGTATAACCACAAAGCAGGTCCCTCAGACACAAAACCAGTTACTGTGTGCATGCTGACCCTTCATTCTTGGTACTTGTGTGCTCCTTTCACTGACAAGACTTACTCGTAATGAAATCCAATGTCGTGATTCCCAACAATGACCACGAGCTCCGTAGAAACTGGGTGCTTAAACATTTTCCGGAATCTTCTGACATCATCTGCCCATGCCTGCAGGAAAAAAGCAAARGAAGAAATCAAATCAGTGCTGTTCTGCAGCATCAAAGGGGACCACTGGTTTTGTAGTGAGTTTGCATGGCGAGGTTTTACTACTGGGGGGTCTACAGGGGTGGCTCCTGTGGGAGCTTCCCCCATGTTCTAYAGAGCCAATGCCAGCTGGCTCCAAGATGGACCACTGCTGGCCCAGGCTGAGCCCATCACTGATCCCCAATCTGGGACAACATCATTAGGAAGGTGGCAAAAAAAGGAAACTGAAAATGCTGCCAGAGAGAGAATTTGTGAGGAAAAGCCCTGCAGACACCAAAGTCAGTGAAAGAGAAGGGTCTGTTTTGTATTTACTCTCCCCTCTCCAGCTCCGGCTGAGGAGGGAATTGATAGGGCAGCTTAGTTGGGCACCTGGCATCCAGCCCATCACAAGGGTATAGCACAGAACCACAAACTGAGATGTTTACATTTTCTGAATTTTTTTATGAGGGGCAAAACTGTCAAAAATGAAGGAGAATCACAACATTTCAATTCCTATCTAAAAGACTAGAAACTTCTACCACCAACAGGACAACTGTAGCAGTATYAAACAAAGCCTTGCATACCTAATCTGCTTCCTTCTGTCATCCATTTCCTTCAAGAAATCCTCATTTTTTGAACTAAGAGAGCTGATGATGTCATACCTGAGGTGAGCTCCATTTTCCTTCATCAAAAACATCTCCCAGAATAAAAACAATATCTGGCTGCAGTAACCATAARGCAGTTTGGAAAGATCTCTCCATTTGCCATTCCCTGAAAGGAAAATACAGAACCAGTTACCACTGCCTTGCCTCTGGATCCTCAACTCTGAATACACGGACACAGCCTGGCAATGGGAATGGGACAACAGCTCCTACACATTGAAATATGAAAATATATTATGAAATTCAAATTAAATATTTAGAAATCAGGTGTAAGGACAGTAGGAGCATCTTACCTGGTGGGTAATTCCACCACGATACAATCAGGACCAACAGATGTAAGAAGTAATACCAGCTTGTTTATTTTTTTCACTACAATTCTAATTAATTGCTGTTTAATGGGACAGTGAATTATTGTCCCATTAGTTACTATTAAAAACTCTGAAAACTGGGTAGAGATTATTCAAAAAAAATTAATAATTACCTTCTTAGTTTATCGAACCAATGTCCTTTGATTTCACCAAGTAGGTGTGTATCAGCTAAAATTATGGCCTTCAGGACTGAAGCTGAAGTCTCTTCTTCACCCATGTGAGCTCCACCTTTCACATCTGGCCATCGGCATTGAAATATTACCACATAGTAAATTAAAAATTCACAAAATATTAACACTGAGCTGACAAAGCACACGAGTTTCAGCAGAAAACAGAGCCTCCTCTTCAGAGGGAAATTCTTCACAGTCGTCGAGCTAGAACTCAGCATTGCAGTACCAGCATAGATAATGCCTCAAATTCTCCTCTCAGATGAAAACAGCTTGGGCTACTCAAAGGATCACATTGGGCTTTTTGTCAGCACAAAATCTCTGCGGAGAAAATACAAAATAAAATATTCATTAAGTCAGCATTCCCTTTGGAAAGCTACCATGCAAGGCCTTCTGTGTTAGCTTCCTGTCACCCTGAAAGGCTTGAGAAGATGTAATTGTCCTAAAGAGTAAAGTTCTCCTCCAGGCACACAGACGGCCAGCTGAGCACAGAACTGCACTCGCTCCTGGCAGCACCAAGGAAACCAGATTAAAGCCAGCCAGGATCTTGGAGCGTCACGCTTTTTTTAGAACTGTACAGTGAAAATACTGTGAATAGGGCTCAAAGGTAGATATAGACAGAGCTTAGCTTGAACAGCAGCAGCAACCAAGAAAAAAAATCCATTAGGATCCATATGGAATCATTTAGGTTGGAAAAGAACCCTGAGTCCAGCCCTTAACCCAGAACTGCCAAGTCCACCACTAAATCACATCCCTAGGTGCCACTTCTATACATCTTTTAAATACCTGCAGGGACTGTGACTCCTCGACGTCCCAGGACAGCCTTTCCAATACTGGACAACCCCTCCAGTGAAGAAATTCTTCCTAGTATCCAATGTAAACCTCCACTGGCRGAACTTGAAGCCACTTCCTCTTATTCTGTAACTTGTGAGAACAGCCCAACASCTCCCTGGYKACAGCCTCATTTCAGGYRGTTGTAGAGCACTAAGGTCTCCCCTCAGCCTCCTTTCCTCCTGGCTGATCACCYCCCAGGGGAGATCTTCTGGCACAAGTACAGAACATGACTGCACCAAATCAAAAGCATTATCACCTTTAATATGGCTCATGGTAATCTCCAAGAACCAAGAGCAATTTACCATTCCACAAGTTTACAGGAGCTTTCCAGGAACACAGGCACAGATACCCGGTTAATTAACTAAAGCTGCATCATTTCTAACAAGAGGAAAACAAGGAGCAGCTAAGCCTCAGGAAAAAAAAAAAAAAAAAAAAAAAA